TATATATATATATATATATATATATATATATATATATATATATATATATATATATATATATATATATATATATATATATATATAAAAATAAATATATATATATATATATATATATATATATATATATATATATATATATATATATATATATATATATATATATATATATATATATATATATATATATATATATATATATATATATATATATATATATATATATATATATATATATATATATATATATATATATATATACTGTTCAGTTTTGGTATGTGAATGGTCAGTATTGAGGAGAAAGTGAGACAATGCATTAATGATAAGCTAAATTTCTCTGCAGCCATCTCTGTGTTTTCTTTGGTTCCTTTTATGTTTTTAACATTGAGTATCAGGAGTCAACCAATGTCAATGTCACAGAGCTAATTAAAAGGTAATTGTAAGATATCGACAAGATGCATTTAAAGGCAAAGATATTCACACAGAGCAACCAAATTATCACAATCATTTTTATAACTTTGTTTACTTTTCTATAATTAATCTAATTTGCCTAGTTTAGCCTGTAGTTAAGCTTTTAAATTGCACTTTAAGCTGAATATTAGTATTTTGCTAAAGAACTAGTAAAAATGTGTTATTTAAAAAATATCTTAAACAGCACGTACAGTACATACATTTTTGCAGAGACTCAATGAATTTGTCTGGAAAACTTCAAATGAAGTAGGTAAAAGTGGCATTAACAGTATAGTATAAAGGCTTTCCTAAATAATTGTATTAATCAGGTTATTTTATTTATTTATTTATTTTTATTACTACAGGTTTGGAACAACATGAGGATCAGATTATTTATTATTATTATTATTTATTTATTTATTTATTTTTGCTTTGGATGAAGTTTTTATATTTTAATTTTTTTTATTTAATGATATGTGCATGATTGTGATACATGTAGGCAGTTCCTTTGAAAATATGCTATGTGCCAGGGGTGTCAAACTCCTGGAGGGCCGCAGCCTAGCAGAATTTAGTTCCAGCCCTGCTTCAACAGACTACCTTTAGATTTAGTTTGATCAGGTGTGTTTAATTAGTATAACTGCACTCTTACTCTGTAGATTGTGCAGTAAATAACTGTAAAATAGCCAGTGTTTTGCTGTAATAAAAGGTAACAGTATTTTACTGTAAAAGGAGTAGACTTTGTATGAAATTGTGTAGTGCAAAGAATAAATTACAGTAATTTACTTTATGTACGCATTACAGATATAACTGACAATAAATAGCAAATTACTGTTCAACCATTACTGCCCCATCTACTTCGATGGTTTATGTTGCTATTTATAGAGACGTGCATTTTAAAGGCAGAAAATAATGATTTAGGCATCACCACACACTCCCACAGGCTGTCCGTCTTATTCTAAACACAAAGGTGTTAGAAAGAGTTTTCAGAAAATGCTGGCCCTTTAAGAGAGTCAGGTGTTTGATTTGTTTACTGCTGAGTGTGCTCTATTCTCTGTCCATCAATTCAGATGTAGAGTCTGATATGTTTTAGGCTTTAACTAAGAATCTACAAAGAGTAAGTAAAATGTGTTCAAATGTTTTTGAGGGTTTCTAAAATAAGGCTGTGTTTTAAGTTATATTGTTGTTATCTTAAACTGACTACATTGTTAGCTAGTTAGCCTCTCCTCATATAACTTCCTACATTACTTTTGTTTAAGTATATGTATTTATTGGATATTGCATACTGCCATAATGTGCTAACAGATGTGCTACAGATTCTAACAGTTGTATGTATCTTTCTGGCATCTAAGCCAAAATTAAATTCCATCATCTCAGTAAGGTAACATGTGCACATCATCACGGGGAATCACAAAAACATGATACACATAGCCATCTACACACAAAAGGTCCACTGTCCGGTCCCAGGTTGTGAGTTTGTTGCTAAGTATTTTTCAGAGCAGTGTTTCCACCTATGAATTTATATAAGAAACAATAAAAAAGTTTGTTGTCATGAGATAATTATAACAATAAAAGATTGGATCCTTTGTTTTTTCGGTGTTGCCAATTTTATATTTGTTTTTTAATAATTATTTTAAACTTTTTATTGAGATTTGACAGTTTTTAATTATTTAAAATTTAAAAATTTTAAATAATTATTGTGTGTTTTTTGCTGTTCAGTTTTTTTTTTTGCATGGTCAGCTCTGAGGAGAGAGTAACACATTTCACTGCAGCACTTTGTGTGTGTGTGTTTATTGGATATGTGATTGTGATAAATGTTGGCAGTTGTTTTAAAAGTATGCTATATATCACTAGGGATGGCTGACGTGAAACTGACGTTTCGACACAGTGTCGAGATCCCGAAGCGCAAGTGTTTCGAAACACTGCACCGAAGCATGATCCGAAGCACCCAAGTCACGTGACTAAAGTGTTTCGAAACACTTGGTCACGTGACTAAAGCGATTCAAAACATTGCTCACCTCAGAAGCGTTTTGAGACCTGGCGAATCTCCATTTCGCTGCCAAGGTCAGAAAAATTTCATTTCATATGGCCTAGTGGACTGTGCATGAGCACGATGTTGCTATTCATTAATTCACTTCTTGGGTTCGAATCCCGACTTCTACAAATACTCCAATTGTTTTATGAGTTTTTATCATGTTTCTGTATTTAGCCTAAATATGATACAGCTGCAGTTACGCCATCAATTTAGCATCATTTTTGTAACACTGTAAAACAATAATAATTATTTTACAGTACTGTGATAGTTTGGTTTAGGGTTTGGGTAGACATTAATAAAATACAATAAATGGGAAATTTTATGAATAATATAAATAATTCTTGATAACTTCAGGCCACAGTTTCTGATCTAGCAACAACCCTGTTTTAAGACCAAAACAAGACATATTTATTAACAAATTGTTTATTTGGATATCAGACAAATGTTGAAACAAAACGATTCAAGAGCAAAGCATTACCAACTGGTATTAAAGCATTTTAAAATAGGTGATATTGCCCGGCTTCGAACCCACTATCCCCAATTGCTAGTCAGACACTTTAACCGCTCCGCTACATTGATTGAAGTTTACATCATCAAAGTAGGGTTCAATACCTCAATTTGCTCAACTGCTATGTGCTGCAGCTGTTTCAGTGCAATACATAAAAAAATGACCACTAGGTGTCACTGTAGAGTGGTGTTTCGAAACGTTTCGAAGCTTCGACACATTTGCTTCGACTGTTTCAGTGTTTCATGAAGCCTCACTTTGCC